GAATAGGCAGCAATTGAGTAACTGGGTGTGGGGGGGTACAGGAAGGCTTCACGGAGAAGTTGGGGGAAGGGACAGAGGCCAAGTGGGGTACCTAGCCCCTCCCCCAGCCACTACTTTACCTGTTGTAGCAGTGGGGGGGGGGGGCTGAATTTAAGACAACCCTCTGACAATTGGATTCTATACCTGGAAAATTTATGAAAATTCATAAATTTGTTTATATATGGACTATAATTTTGGGGGTGGGAGGTTATCTTATTTGAGTAAATACAGTAGTTAGTTGTCTGACTTTACAGTGCCACAAAACATCCTCATAAAAGAAAAGCTATGTTGAAATAATATGGTAGGTAGCATTCTGTGAGTAGTGGTGGCGGCGTGTCCTATCAAGCAAGAGAGCTTCATGGTTAAAATATGCAAAGAAAAAGAATGAAACCATTTGTGTGCTTTTAAAAAAAGGTTACATAAGCATTCTTTTGTTATAGGGTTGGTTATGCAGGTGACAACTTTGTTCGTTACACTGGAGATACCATTTCAATGGCACAGACTCAGTGTAAGTGTTTCATTTTGTCATTAAAATCATTCTCTAAACATTTTAACAGTACTCTGTTTCTTTTCCAAAGAAGTGTAGATAAATTGGAAACCTGGTCATGTAATGATTTTTAGAAAACCCAAATAAAGGTGTCAGTCTGAAAAACGTCCATCAGATTTAAAATGATTATTTCATTGATGTCTTTTACATGTACAGTGTTTGCTTGGGAGGCTTATGACAAAGGCTCTGAAGTTCATCTTCAAGCAGATCCTACAAAGCTAGAACTTCTATACAAATCCTTCAAAGTGAAAAAAGAAGATTTCAAGGCACAGCAAAAAGAAGGCATTCTAGAGAAGGTAAAATAAACGACACTGTTGAACAAGAATTCTGTAGACGTTTGGACAAGCCTGGGCTTTTCCCCTTTTTTGTTACTACTGTTCAAAACTCAAATATTCTAATAAAATCTAAAATTATGTAGTCTTTACCTGCTGGATCCTGGTAAGTTACTTTCTGTAGTCACTAACTGTAGTTCAAGGGTTTGTAATAGAGGTGTGTAAAGCGGGCAGTATTCGATTTGGATTTGGCCCGATTCGGGGGGACAGTGATTCGATTGGCTGATTTGGATCATTGTCCCAATTAGATTTGGCTGAAACTGAAGATTTGATTCTGATTTGGAGAATCAGCAATTCGGCCATTGACGCAGCTTTATATGTGTTTTTCTACATACCTTTAAGGTACCAGGCACAGCTCGTGAACTCTGAGATGGTGGAGCAGACAGAGCGTCCCACAAGTCTACTTCTGGGCCTGCTGCTGAGTGGACGGGGGGACCCCCCTGACCCAGGAGGCACCAGTCATTGAGCTGGGGGGCGGGAGGTCCCCCGCGCGTTCCACAACAGACCTAGAAGTGGACCAGAAGTACTTCTGGTCCACTTCTAGGTCCATTGCTGAGTGCTCAGGGGGGCGCACACCCCCCCCCCCCCCCCCCCCCCCCCCCCCCCCCCCCCCGGCCCTGTGGGACACTCCATCTGCCCCACAATCTCAGCATTCATCAGCCACGCCTGGTAACTGGAGGTATGTAGAAAAAACATATAAAGCTGTGTCTATGGCAAAATCATCAAATCTCTCCAAATCAATTTGGAGACTTCCGATTCGATTCAGAGCGATTTAATGGGTCTCCTGATTCAATTCGGAGATTCGGCCACCTAATTGGGCCAAATCTCCTCCAAACTGAATCGGCAACTGAAGCTCCACACAGCCCTAGTTTTTGTAAGTCTTTCTCTCCCTGTCATGAGGGACTTATCCCTAAACTGTCAGAAACTACTTGGTTTGGCTCACCACGGGTGCCTCAATCTGCAACCCCCCCCCCCCCCATGGACTTGCTGGCCAGATGCTGGTCTTCAAGCTGCTGGGTTGCATTTCTGGCCACGTGCATTCTGCAACCGATTACCGATAATGTCAATTTTCCTTTTATCAGTGCCAATATGATATGGACCAGTATATCGGTGCACCTCTATTCAAAATAGATATTTTTGGAAAACTGAAACCTGGATTGTTTTGTGTAAATGTTGCAAATGTATTTTTCTGGCTAATGCAAGAGGAGTAGTACTTCTCAAAATCTGAATTTGCAGGCTTTTGGTTTTGAGCAATTAATCTGACCTTTTATTGCCATCGCATTTAATTAAACAACTCAATAAAAACAAATCCTCCAAGTAGATTCCAACTTTTGTTGTTGTCAAGAATAATTAACATATCCTTATTTTTCTGTATTGGGATTGCGCTTCTACTGGCATAGAAAGTCTGTGATTATAATGAGGAATATCGTTATGATATTATGGTATCTGTTTTGAACTCAGTAACAAAGCATTATCTTTATTTAGCAAATTGGAAAAAAGCATAAAAATTGAAGCAATCCACTTTGTTCAAAATGTTATGTAATGCTACAGGGAAATATGGTGAGATGATGGGTTTGAAATGCAAATTTATCTGCAAATATCATTTTATGTTTGCAACAAGGTTTTAAAACCATTGTTTTTGTTATAGTACGGAGGACAAGAACATCTCGATGCCCCACCAGCTGAATTGCTGTTAGCTCAGACAGAAGACTATGTAGAGTATTCTAGACATGGAACAGTCATCAAAGGACAAGAGAAAGCTATTGCTCGCTCTAAATATGAAGAGGATGTAACGATCAACAACCATACGGTAAGCAAAGCTAATTTCCGGCTTAATTAGGGGAAATATGATTAGATGCCACTAGGACAGTTGTACAATAACTACATCGCTTTTCCCCCCACCCTCTTTCCCAGCTTGAATAGCTCTAATGGAAGTTACATGTATGAATCAAGGGAAGGTTATGGCAGAGAGATTCAAAAATCCAAATGCAGTTATGCTTCCATAACTTGACTCATAATGGGCATTGGGCATCGTGTTTCCTATTCTTGTAATGTAATATATCAGAAGCGCTTTTTAAAACTTTCCCTCTTCTGTCTTTGGGTAAATTAGTGCTATCTAGAAACGCTACCAACAACATCGTAATAACTCTGACAGCTCAGTAATTGCTTGGTATTGTTTTTTTTCCTTGCAGTGTATTTGGGGTTCATACTGGAAGGAAGGCAAGTGGGGCTATAAATGCTGCCATTCATTTGTCAAGTATTCCTATTGCACAGGAGAAGCTGGGAAAGAAATTGCTGTGAGTATTGCTTCATGTGTAAGCAACTGAACATTGCATACTTCTATAAAGAATTGAGCTAATAAAATAACATGAGGCTAAAATGTGATGTTTGTAATTTGGAATGCATGTTGTGAGATCACACTTCCTCTTATCTTTATCATGCAGAATGCTGAGGCAGAGTTGCCAGAGGAAGAATGCATGGAGGAAGAATACATGGCAAAACCCAAAACACTGGTGGAGGTAAGTTGCTATCCCTTGGAAGTGGGAAAATATCTAGATAAAATGAGCTCTTTGTCATCTGTCTAGCACTTTAAAAGATGAGGGAAGTACATGTAGTAACTATACTACAAAAAAGAGCATACGAGCCATTTTTCTGAGCCCTATTAGGAGGTTTTGTACTGGATTATTGTTAGCATTCAGTACTCATGAGCTAAGCTCTAAGATAGTTGATAGACCCTTGAGGCAGAGTGTATTTTGGAGATGCACCTATATGACAGTAACCACTAGAATTTCAGGCTTACACTTCTACTATTTTTATACTTCAGATGCATCAAGAAAAACAGAAAGAAGAGAAGAAGAAGAAAAAGAAGAAGCATAAGAAGAGCTCAAATTCAGATAGTGATGGTGAAGAGAGAAAGAAACAAGAAAAACTGAAAAGGGTAAGTTTATTCTTGAACAGTTATTCTTTGTTTCTGTAACTGAAAAATTAGGTTTAGTTGAGATCTGCCAATTAATATTTATGTCTTTTCATCATGGGTCTTGTAATACTATGCATTATTTTCCTTTGCTGCTGAGTTGAAGTGGTTTTCAGTACTTTGACATTGAACTACGAGCAATAAGAACTATGAGCAATAAGAACTCATCACAGTCTTTCTGCTAGTTGTATCAATTACTTGACGTATTCCACGAGAGGATAAATCTTGACCCTATCCTGCAAGTGATAATACACATGTGGATTTACTGCATTTATACAGTGTCTCAATGACATCACTAAACACATCACCGCTGAGCTGTGGATTGGAGCTTTAAAAGTTGCATGCTGTGCTTTGGCCACTTTGGATGCTGACAGGTATAGGAGTGGGGAAAAACAGTACTTTACTGGAAGAGAAAGCACATTAGTTTGATTCAGTTCTGCAGCATCTGTATAGATTGGGCACTTCAGCGGGGCTTTTTGGCATTTTTATCTAATAGCTGGTTCAGTCAGCTATTAGATAAAAGCACCAAAAAGCCCTGCTGAAGCCGCCTGATCTATGCAGATACAGGGTGAACTGAGTCAGACTGACACACAGTACCTCTTCTGAGCATGTGCTGTGCTCAGTGCAGGGGCATGCCAAGCTTAAAGTAAATCACTGTTTGTTGCAGGGGGGATGGTGCGGTGTTCTGTCTGTTTCCAGCCTTTTTGGTTGAACAACAGCCATAATTGAATAGCAGACAGCAGCAGTGCACCAAAGAAAGAAATAGCTTGCTGTGGCGTTCTTTTTAATTAGCTCTGACTTCAGTTTTAAAAAGTGCTTAAGTAACTTGGGAAGGCATCATTCAGTGACTTCAAACAGTAACTTGTGCTGCTAGATCCTTTGGCTGCCTTTTTAAAGTTCCAACCTGCACACACATCCACTTGAAAATTATTGTACTTCAACAGCCTATAGCAGTGGTTTTCAACCTTTCTAGACTGGAAACACTTCTTGGAAAATGCTAGAGCTTTGAGTTTTCATTTGTGTTTTTTTTACCATGGAAATTTAATACAGCAGTATTTCTGTTGTAACAAACTCAGAAAGACCGCAACAGGTCAAAATGTTATTAACATTATGGTTTCCTGTTCGAAATCTCTGGCTTTATTTTGTGATTGCATATCTAAAATTGCTAACAATGTGTGGCACAGCCATGGCACCCTGGTTGAGAATTGTTGTCCTGTGGTTATACTATGTATATACACTGTGAATAAACTGGCAGCTAATTAAAATGCGGTTTAAATGCTAGCTTGTTTTTTGCATTAGAAGTTATAAACCTGAAATGTGTAAAAGAAGAATAAGCACTAGCTTTGTATGGTTTTGGAGTATGTGGTGTACCTTTCTGCCTGATGTTGGCTTTTTACAGGAGTAGGATCTGATGTGTTCCTCCCCTTATTTTTGCTTTCACTTCAGGCATTAAATGCAGAAGAGGCTCGTCTCCTCCATGTTAAAGAACTCATGCAGCTAGATGAGAGGAAGAGGCCGTATAACAGCATGTACGAAACCCGTGAACCAACAGAGGAAGAAATGGAGGCTTATAGGATGAAACGACAGAGACCAGATGATCCTATGGCTTCCTTTCTTGGACAGTAATCATGTGAAAAGTATTCCAACATGCAGGACTGGCTGTCGATACATGATACTTGGGGAGCAAGTATCTAGAATTTTGGTTATTTCCACATTTCTGTGAAATGTTGCAGAAATGGCACTTTTTAACAAGGGAGAAGTCAGTGAATGGTATTTAAAGCAAGTGCTTTCAAGCTTATTAATGCTATGTGGGGTGCTTTTCTTTCTCTAAGTATATTTAGTATAGAGTCGATGCTACTGAAGTATAAGTAGTGGACAACTGCTTTAAGTCCCTTATACCAGTACAGTATGAAGGAAGAGAATGTCTGGTCAGGAAAATTAACTGTATCTAATTGAGCTGGCCAGCAGGTGTCACTGTTTCAACACACAAATTTCTGAATATATAGCAAGTGGTGCCTAGACTATCATCACTGATAGGTCTTTTCCTGCAAATGGCACAAAGTGGAAAATAGAATCATTCTTAGTCATTTGTCATACCTATTTTGTGAATGCAGAATGTAAAAACTGATCTGCTGTGATGTACTGACTGGTTAAATTGAATGTAAAGTTTTAATGCTGTCCATTAATGGTTGTACTGAAAAGGTTAAGAAAAGCTTATTCTACCGACTCTGAAATTTCTATTTTAATCATCAGTATACCCTTTTATGCGTATCCCTTCTTTGCCGGTCTACACTGAAAATGCAATGTATTGTGAAAATTTGACCAACTTTGCACTGCATTCTAATTTTAGTAGACATGAATGCCATTCCAAGCATTTAGATTGTCCTGACATCAATACTTGTCATTGTGGTGGTTTGACTTTGAGAAGAAATATTTGTATATTTCTTAAATTAATTCCATCTCTTAATCTGCAATATTAGATGTCAGGTGTAAGGGCTAATTTCTAGTTGTGATCATCTTGGATTAAATACAGGATATTTATACTGCTGGAAACATGATTTCTAGGTTTCTAAGGGGAGAGGTGCAAGACTTAGTTGAGAACTGTCCAGGCATAGAAGCATTGGATTTTGGCACTAGTGACACTTCCTACATAGCTTTTGGAAGTTGTGTAACCTCTACCAGAAAGTTACTTGGTTCAACTGATTCACATTAAGACCTGACTGTGCTGCAGGCACTACAGTCGGAGGGACTAAGTACCACAGAGAGAAGCTTATAACCAAAGTTTGTTAAATATGTAATATATATAAATATAGTTGCAGTTACAACTTTTTGCACTATAGCACTATATCGGTCTGGAGTTGGACAGCTATTCCCAACTGGCAAATACAAACAGATGTTAATAAAGTTTCCTATGGCCCTCCTATTTTATTTTTATGAATAGAAGCCCTAATTACAGTGGGGAAATAACGACTGCACCTGGTACCTCAAGGTCTGTAGAAAAAACATTTAAAGCTGTCTATGTCCGAATCACTGATTCTGTGAATCAGCATTGAATCTTCAGATTCGGATTCGGCCCAATCAAATCAGGGACTCTGATCGAAATCAATGGATCAAATCGCTGTCCCCCATTCAGGCTGAATCCAAATTTGAATGGAATTTCACACACCCCTAATGCTTACCAATTAAATGATTTATGTTGCAACTTTCCACCTGTGAAGTTAGGTTGATAGCACATCAGTTTGTTTTGTGTTGCATGTTCCTGTTCCCACTGTACTACTGAAAATTCAGAACAAAAATCAGTTGCTGCTAAGGTCTTGTTTTTAACCTTGTAGATTCTAGAGCATTTTGACTTGCAAGACAGAAACCCAGTTACAGGTGTGGAATCATGAATGCACAACCAAGGTGATGGGAATGAAACTATAAGCATAAGCATTCTTATTTTGCAAGTCACAGTTTTCTGTCACCTTAGCATAGAAATATCACCTTCTTTTCCATTGCCTTATTTTTTTTTCCTGGCTCTCACTAGTGACTTAAAAATGCTTTTATATCAATTCTTCAAGGATGATAAAATGCAAAGCATCCAACTGCAACCAATTATGTCTGATGTAACAGCTGTGGATCATATTTACATAGAATACTGTATGTTTTTATGTAATACAAACATACTTATTTCTTGCATGCTTTGTATGTAGTTTTCTAAAAACTACATGCTCACAAACTGACTACAATCTAATGTACAAAATATTCTGCAGAGCAGAATTGTGCTATCTCCATTGTGGTTCTACCTTTAAACTCCATGTGAAGCTTCCACTGATCTTAGTGGAAGTGTCTCAGCTTGAGTGCAGATAAAGACAGTGTAAATATGCATGCAGACCCTGGCTCTGCCCTTTAAACCAAAATACTAAAGATCAGTTTAGGGCTAGTAACTAATTAACCTGTCATCTTGGCCATCAAGCCTGAGCTGTAGATACAGCTCATAGGGGTGTGACTGTTGATAACTGTTTTCTTCATGCTGTAAATGTGAAGGGAAGGTCTCCTTAGGTCCCCTTTTTCCCTTTCTATGAAAGGTAAACATCTCAAAGACCTGCCAGTGTAGCATACACTATTCTATGAAACTTCAAGTTGCAGTTAGTGGGGGAAGAGGGAAATTTTTTAGCAAATAAATATATTGGTAAACTGCAGTTGTATCTGCATAGTGAGATGCTTTTAAATACCTGAAGATACAAATGTACCTCTGTGTTCACTGCCTAAGAAATACATTGGCCTGCTTTCCCTTTGGAAGAAAAGATAAACAACCCTTGGGGGGGAAAAGTAATTATGGTTGGATTGTTCCTCAGAATCCAATCCTCTGAGATCACAAGAAATGCAAGACAGATCTATCTCTAAACCAATTGTGACAAACTAAATAAAAAACTACAATGAAAGATATGCTATTTATAGTACAGGAGTCAAAATACCAGCATGGATCTCAGCATGGGGATTAAATTTGCTTTGTCTGCTTTTCTTGGCTTCACTACACAATATAACTGTCGGTCCACGCACTTGACTTGCTAGTGCAGAAAAAAAATCCTTTTTCAAATTAATTTGAAACAAATTTTATATGTTGGTTGGGACAAAAATGAAGTAGAAATATACCTATTCTTGCAAGCACCAGAAGTTCCCAGGGCTGCTGGGAAGCTCTTTACTTGTGTAAATTTACTAAAATGGAAGCAAGAGGAGACTATACTCCATAGCTTGTTAAGACAAATTAATCAACTTAAATTGTAATAAGCTGGATCTGCAGTGATCTATTTGACGCAGTCATTGAAGATTTGTTTTTGTTACAGTAAGAAGCATTCATCAGGAAAGAATCTGACTGCAGGCAAAACTCTTAAGCTTACTTTCCCACCTTCCTTTGCAACAGTTCTCACATTTTCCTTTGTAGTGATTTGCTTCCTCTAGTCAGTCAGAGTGTCGAAGGGCACACACATAAACCCCAGGGCTGGGACTAGAGTTAGTTCTCTGGCAGCAGCCAAGGGGGAAGGATCTCTCATAAAGGAAGCTAACTAGAGATGCTTGATTGCCTGTTCTGTTTCTGATAGGGTTAAGGGGACTCCAGGAGCTCACCAGGTACCCTGGCCTGCAAGACACTTAGTGCTAGGGTTGATTCTTTTAAAGGGATAGAGTGCACCCTGAATTGCTTATGTTATAGCCCAGGGGCTCATATTATAGTTGTTGTTTATAAACCAGTGGATCAGGCTGAGGCTATTAGGGAAGGAAGAGGCGGCCTCATTGAGGGGCCCTTTACAGTGGGGACCCCAGCGCCAGAGAGTGCACAGTGATGGGGGTTGAGCAGACCCCAGTGCCAGAGGGTGTAGGTGTTGAGACAGAACTAAGCTGAGGCCTCAACACAAGAAGATTACCCCGTGCCAAGCCTCGCAGATGTTAAGGGATTGTTTTGGAGCCATGCATCTAGCCCATAAGGCTTGGGGGTATCATAAGGCATCTCCTGACTGGGACCCAATAAAGGGGTCTAGCTACCCACAGGGTTTAGAAGAGCCTGTCAGAACTGTGACCAAGCAGCAACATGAGGGCAGCCTCCCAATCCATCACTTATAGCAGCAAGACATGGCAGGTAAGATTAGTAGGCACCATAGGGCAGAGCCAGCATGGTCACAGTACCCTAGGGACATCACGGCCACCCCAGGGGCAGCCATATCGTGACACAGAGCTTGTAGGGTAGGAACCTAGCCAGTTCTTTTAAAGACATGCATGTAATTATAAAGCACAATATTAACACTCAAATACTGTTAATAAAGAAATCTGCAGAGTCTATACAACATGGTATCTCTTTGCCTTCTGCAAGGTACCTGACCTGGCAGTTTCCCAGCTGTAATGCTTTGAAATTGGATCTTTACATCTTGGTTTACCCCCCAGGTAAAGCCATATAGTGTTCTGCAGGTGATGTCTAATCCTTTAAAGCTGGATGAGTTAAATCCAGTTCTGAATATCCTGGTGCCTAAACTCTCCTGGCAAAGGCAGAGATATTGCAATTAATGATGACATGAGGTTAGCCCTATAAGGGAAAAAAGAAACTAAGGTGTGTAAAGCCTGTACAATGACTGTTCTTTGCCTAGTCAAACAATACTCATGCTGTGTCTCACTCAGTAACTCCAGTTTGCTGTGTCCCTGTTGGTACAACTCCTTTTAATATTTTGCACTATTGAGTTAGAGAACAGCCAGAACACTTGGGGCTGGGCTGTAAGCAGGCATCTCCCTTTTGTTCCATTAGTACATCTGTTTGGATTAATTTTGCTAGATATAGCATAAAGAAATGGGGACAATAGCATTCCAATCTAAATCTGTTTATTTTACATAATCTTAATTTGTTTACAACCCTAACATGACCCAACCAGAATCCCCTGTGGGAATATTAGGCACAGATGTTTTCTTTCTTGTGCAAAATATTACTACAGTTTAAACCTCAGTGGACTTGTAAAAACCTCGCTCTGTCAAATGATATAGTTTAGTCTGCTACGTGGGCAGATTTACAAAGCCAAACCCATCCAATCCACCTATTGGAATGGATGGATGTTCCAATACCTCAGAGCAGTTTTTAGAAACAACCAACACAAATTCTTGTTCATACTGTGTCTTTGGATCTGAGCATAGCCTTGCAATTCTATAACCACCCACAGCACCCAAAGTGGGTCACTTTCAAGCTGGTTTGTGTCAGTATTACATGTGTGTCTTTAAAAAAGGAATATATGAAACTAGTCCATTTCAATAAATTCAAACAACTAAAAGCAAAGATATAACCCTATCATCACTTAAACATATATATAGCTGCTCTGAGTCTTTCATATATGGTAGGATATAACCTAAGTCTTCTGGCTAAATATGCCCAGTCAATGCACATCCAAATCCAGGCCTTGTGAACAATCATCAGACCATCAGCAGATCTCAGCTGTCATAGTAGTGCAGGAAGAAGAGGAGTTTCCTAGTGTTTATACACTCCAGTGATCATAACACTTATAGGTTTTCAGGCCTTTGGGGTGCCTATACACATCCTCCAATTCTTTCTAATTAAAACACATTGGAGCAGACTCAATTAATTAAAGCATTCTAACTGGAATGCTGTAGTGTTGCCACAGCGTCAAGTGTATAAATCTCTGCAGGTTTAAAAATGGTCATTATGGATGCTTTAACTAAAGCTCTTCGAATGACATGTGATGCTGTGGTGTTTTAATTACAGCAGCTCTCCAAGAACTGCTGCAATTAACCCCCACACATGCACACCCATCCACCTGCAAGCACGTGTATAGGCACCTTTTGGTGGGGGAGGGGCACTAGAGCAGACCTCCCTTCCATAATGCTGAGCTGATGGAGGGGCATGGCAAGGCCCCAGCAGGACATTCTGATTAGGGATGGGTTCCCCCTCCTCTTGACCAGCCCAGCAGGTAATTGATAACATAGTGTTTATCACCCCATTATGAAAATGACAGAGACATTACCAGCTACCCATTGATTCTGCTTTTGTCCTGTCTGCCACAGCATGGACC